AGGGAGAGGGTCAGGGGGATGGGGCCAGGCTTTTTTCAGTGGTGCCCAGTGACAGGACAAGAGGAAATGGGCACAAACTGGAAAATAAAAAGTTCCGCCTAAACATGAGGAGGAACTTCTTTCCTGTGAGGGTGGCAGAGCCCTGGCAGAGGCTGCCCAGGGAGGTGGTGGAGTCTCCTTCTCTGGAGACATTCAACCCCCACCTGGACACGTTCCTGTGGGACCTGCTCTGGGTGGCCCTGCTCTGGCAGGGGGTTGGACTGGATGAACTCCAGAGGTCCCTTCTAACTCCATAACATTCTGTGATTCTGTGATTCTGTGACTTGTACCCAGCCAACCCTGACCAGCAGTTCTTTATCCACACCAGTGCACTGGCTCATCCCACCCAGGAGTTGTCCCCACAGTGGTGGTACCTGCAGCAAACGGCCTCCTTCTCTGGTCACCTGGAAGGGGGACGCAAAGTTTAGTCAGATCCCAGCAAGTTTTATTCTTCACCGTGCACAGCCTAATAATGTTTCTTATTTTCTGGGCAGAAATTACCCTCCTCAGGTACCATCAGTCATTGCCAAGCGGCTTCTCCAAACCTCTGTCGCTATTAGAGACACGAGCACAATAAGGAGTGTGTTTGGGCCACGCTAATAGAGAAACTGGGGCTTGTAAGGCTGCAGCAGCTTGTTGTGCTCTCAGGTTACTCCAGACTCCAGCGGGAAAATAAACGCCGAGAGTTAAAGGAATGTATGAAATTCAGAAAGGCTCCAGGAGAAGCCAGCCTGCCGTTCTCAGAGCAGAGCCAGTGAGGTAAGGATGGATGTTTGGATCTACCACTGAGGTTCGTTAGGCAGGACCATCTCAGCATTTCTGAAAGAAGGTGGAGGGCACAGATGTGGGTGTCACAGGGCACAGGTGTGGGTGTCACGGGTCCCACCGCTTGCCCTGGCCCCAGGGAAGGCAGGTCCTGTGGGAGCAGCGCGATGGCCCGGGCTGCTCCATCCCTCCCACGCCAGTGTTTCTGCAGAGGAGGGGAGAAGCTCTGTCCTCCTCTCCCTCCTTGGACCTTGCCATCTGGACGATGGGTTTATTGTTAAGGTAGAAGTGGCCGTTGCTGTACATATGAGTGGACGGAGGATGCAAAATCCATACGGACACCACACTTTTGGCTTCACATTTACGTCACTGTGCATCTGCTCTTGACCAATATTGCAACTGAAAGGATCAAGGAAGTTAATTGGGCTGGTTGAGAATTTGTTGTGGTTCTGTAATGAGAAATATGGTGTATTCCTGCTATTATTGAGCCGAGAGTCAGATGGAGTGTAACTCGCATTTGTCCTGGTGCCACCCGTCAGGGGGAATACGCTGGGGTGGAACTGGGGTCAACTGGGAGGACTGATTCAGTCCCACGGCCGTGACTGAGGGGCTGGGAGCAGGACAGTATGAGACGTGACAGCTCCCCCACAGCCACTTCTGTCCTGCCATCAGCAGTGGTAACAATTACACTTACACTTAATTACTGCACTTAGGCTGCGGTAGGCTGAAGCACTCGGCAGGACGGGAGGTGTTAAGAAGCAGAATGCATTTTAAATTTAGAAAATCCCCTTGAGAAATATCCTTATTTCACACTTATTATTAGCAAAGCCAGCTTTGGAGAGAAAATCTCTGCTTCCATGGCTGGAACCAGTGTCTTCAGCAAGAAGCAGGTGTACAGAAATCTCTCGTTTGGGGACATCGACGTTCCATCTGCTCTGGAAATCTCGTGGCTGCTGAGTCATCTCCCACCCCGGAGCGCTCCGCTGAATTTTTAAAGGTTATCAATACCGGGGCACTGCACGCTTAACGGATAGGGCTTTTTATCTTATTTCATTTTCCTCTGAGCCTGAAAGTAAATACCTGTCTGGTCCTGCTACTGTTAAATCCAGTGACTGAAGCCCTTATTGGTTCCAGTGGCAGGGGATTTAACGTTGGAAATTTAAATAATTGAAATAAGTGACCCGTAGTGATACAAGGCACACGTCCCACAGGCAGGAGGTCACTTTCTTCCAAAGCTCTTTATAGGTGTGAATGAAGATGCCTATGAAAAATGCTTTCCCATTTCTTCCAGACTCACCCACGTAGCAAAACACACGCCGAGCAGGCAGGGATTGCCGGGGAGGGCTGGAGCACAAAATGAGAGATACCGTAATATTGTGCAGCTCCCGGGGGCGGCTGGAGCTGCTGGGGACCAGCAGGTTCTGTTGTGCTGCTTCCGGGCTGGGATCCTTGGTCTCCTGTGCTCACGGTGCACCTTGTGCTTTGAAAATTTGGGTCCTTGTTTTCCTGCCTAATTGGAAGCAGAACTCGTTTGAAAATGTATTCGCTTTCCCTCCAGGGACGGCACTATACCAAAATACAGTGTATGCTTTGGCTTAATTTAATAAGTCATAATCTCTTCTCATATTTTATTATGTTTCAGTGCGAGGTGATTTTTTCCAGAGATGACTCAAAATAATACAAAAGAAACAAGCTTGTCCTGTGAACAAAACATGAATTATAGCTGATAAAATCAAGATAGTTTGAAGGCTTGCCAGCACAAAGAATGAACTCCCTCAGATTCCTGACTTGCCGAGTAATGTTAGCAATCCCAAATTTCCCTGGTAATTTTGAAGTTTAAAGGAACCTTAAGGACACTCTAAGGAAATCAATAGAAGAAAAAATTTCCTCTTAACGCAGAAAAGACTCGCTGCGAAATGAGGAAAAGAATAAGGTGATTTCTGGTGTTTTGATGAAGCCCCACAGCTTGCAGTGCTCTTGGACACTCTTATCCTGAGCCTTTTGGCTGCGGGTGTTGCTCTGCTCCTTGGGCATGTTTCTCTCCAGAAGCTCTGTGATGCCGGGGGTGGGAGTGCTCAGCAGCAGGATGGGGGTTCTCCCGGTTCCTTGCATGGAGACACTGTGCTGGTCATGGTGTGAGCTCTGGCTTTTCACCCTGCTTGTGGGTGGACACAGAACTCCACACACAGCCAGGACCAGCTCTCAGAGCTCCACTCCGTGTCTCATGGGGTTTGGGATCCTGGTGGTGCCAGGGTTCCTGGTAATCCTGGAGAGCAGCTTTCAGTCAGGCTTTTCTGCAAAAGGAAGTGGGACTGATCCAAAGAATGAATATATTGGGGTTTTCGATGTGCTGAACTCGTGGTTAAGGATCCAAATAAATTCCTAAAAATTCACCCTATAAAAGCCTGTCAAAGAGTCTCTCTTTGTCCTCACCGGTTTCTCTGTAGCAGAATGCAAGAAACCAACTGATCTTGGTGGAGACTATGTCTTGTCAGGTGAAATCAGCCCCAGGTCAGTAAAGAATCAAAGAATGTATATAAACACTTTTATACTAAGGACGTGTTAAAGGCTTTGGGTGTAGGCAGGGTTGTGCCTAAAGGGAAACGTGTCCTTTGCTCCGCAGTTCAGGGTGTGAGGGAGAGGAGGAGGCGTGAGGCTCCAGCGAAGCACCCCGGGTGCTCTCAGGAACTTTCTCACACCAGAACTTTCCACAGTGCACCTGACACATGGGCTCAGTATTTTTAGCATAACGAATAATGCAAAAAAAGGCCATTCTTACACCGTGGCAGAGCATTCATTCTCCCAGGTGGGTCCCTCCAGAGCTTTCAGAAGGCGTGCACTGACTGCACCCCGGTGCTGTCTCCCAGCATGAGGGATTGGGGCCTCCCCAAAATTGTAATTCCCAGGAATTAGACACCTTAAGCCTCTGGCAATGTTTAAAAATGTCTGAAGATGGTATTCCAGCCTTCCTTTGTGGCCTTGGGAAGCCGCTTAACCCCTCTGTAGCTTCAGTCCCCTCACCTGAAAAGGAGGGAGAAATCTGTGCTCTGTTCCTGCTCTGCGGCTGAACTCAGCACGTGGGCAGGGGGGGCTCCCCACTCGGGGGTGCAAATGCAATTAGGCTATGAAATATTGCTAGTGCTAGGATAAGTATTAAATAACAGAGCGTATTTATTCTGAATGCACCATTCTCCCCCTTCCTGCAGGGCTGTCTAAAAGACCATCCACGTCACAGAGACACGCTCCGTGTGTTCGGGGGAAATCTCAGCTTGATCCAAGTTTTGCCACTGGCTTCTGTGGGGCCAGGATTTCACTTCATGGTCAACCTGAAACCTGTGTAGATCAGTGCAAGATTAGGGCTTCTGGGTTGTGAAAATGGGAGTCGTCCTTGATTTTTATACACACTACAGAACCATTTATTAGACATAAAATACATTTAAAAGGAGAAAAAGCATAACTACGCATTTCAAATGAGTTAAATAATGCTGGCATTAAATATACTTTAGTCTTATGAATAATTTGGGAAGATTATTTCAGTGGAAAAATTAATCAAGGCTCAGAAATATCCTGGAGTCAATGACACCCATTGCAACTATGTGCTTTCCAAACTCTTCAGAGGACTGGTCCCTGCTCCAAAGAATTCAGAGCCTGAGATGGGGAGACAGAAATCTCTGAAACAAAGAAAATAGCCTCTCGGTGTTTGTCAGATACTGAGATTGGAACTGGTCGAGGTTGCTGGCAGTCTGCTAATGACTCTCTTATCCTCTAGGACTGTGTTAAAAATGAAGACTGCAACACAAATGAGACTGAGAGCGTACAGAACCGGAGATGAGGAATGGGTTCCCCAGTGCCACATTTTCAGCCTGAGCAGTACGGAGCTACGATCCGGGGCAGACTTTCCAGCTCTCCTGGTGTACGTGTAATAGTGGATATTTTAAATGCATGCATCATGCTGAAAGGCTGGGGGAATGGATGCTTTCTGCTTCAAGGTCTGCTGCTCCAAAGGTCTCCTGCTGTATTAGCTGCACGCGTGCCGCGGTGTCTCCCAGGGTACTCCAGGGTGCTTGGGGGAATGGATGCTTTCTGCTTCAAGGTCTGCTGCTCCAAAGGTCTCCTGCTGTATTAGCTGCACGCGTGCCGCGGTGTCTCCCAGGGCTCGGGGGGAGTACTCCAGGGTGCCGGGATTCACAGGATCTGGGCCAGAACAGAACCTGAGATTGGCCCCTGGACCAGTACAAGTGGCCAAACTGTGTGCAGAGAGTATTGAAACTACACCAGTTACTCCCTACTTACCACCTCCTGACCTCACTTGGAGTTTTCCCCTTCAGCCTCTTCCTGCAGCATATAGGTCTATTAAATGACTTTTTTACATCATACTCACCAAGTGGGTCTGAGCTCTGCTTAGCTCACTAACGGTTAATGCTTGCCAACCATTTTCTCCAACCAAGAGAGCCACTCTCTCATGGAGAAACTCCTTATCAGCCTGCCAGCTTGTGAACTCCTCAGCATTTGATCTGCTGCAGACAGGGAGCTGCTGAAATCAATAGCTGAATTGATCGAGTGGCAACTGGAGAGCCTGTGCCTGCCTGGGCTAACGCGGCTGGGAGATGAAGTCGGGGACTGAAATGCTTTCAGAAGAGTTCGGAGCTTCAGACAGGAGATTTTCTGTGGACTAGAGATTTTAGATGTCCTCATACGAACTCTGATGTAGCCAACTCACCCCCAAATCAGTCTTTTCATCCTGTAAACATGGGGCTCAAAGTTCTCGCTGTGACTGAGCTCCCAGGAAGGACCTGGAGGAGCTGCCTTTGGTGCTTCCAGGGTTGTGTTCTCCATGAGGTGAGACATTGGGTCCCTGCGGTACAGACCAGTGCAGCTACTGGTTCCTTTCACAGCGAGTCTCCTTGGGGGGACAGGGAAGAGCAAGGAGCTCAGAGCCACACTGGGTTGTCCTACCAGAGCCACCACGACCCTCTGCTCTCCTGGCCACGAGGACAGCCAGCTCTCATCACTGCAGCTCTCCAAATCTTCCCAATGCCAGTGTGACACTTTCACCCTCTGGGCTTTCAGAAGGAGCCCTGAAAACAAGCACTCTCAGCCCAGGGTTTTTTTGGTAAGTGATACTAACTGATGAGTACTTTTTCCATGGCACAGTGAGGATCAAAGCTAGAACTGTGTCTGCATCCGCTTATCTGTGCTGCTTTTGTAGTGGAAGGCAGGATCACTGGTTGCAAAATATACCTACAGGATAACTAAGGGTTTGTCTATGTGGGAAAAATACAAAGGATTAAACTGATGCATAAATTTAAGGTTGGGTGAAAATTTATGTGGACATTGTTCTTTTGCTGTATGAGAGGATTGCCTGAGTTCAGCTTAAAATGAAGCTCAAAGAGACATCATCTCTGGGTATTTTTCTACCCTGCAAGAAATACTAACTTAATTAACTGTGTTTTCTCTGTTTAGTGTGCCAAAATTGTGACCTGGTGTGTGGGCCACAGGAGGTGTTCTTGGGTAAGTGCTCAAAAAAGCTTCCTTTTCCTCTGTGGAACCTTTTTTGCCAGGTGATTCAGGTCAGCTACCGTGATAAGGCAGGATCAGATATCCATCTCTGAATCCAATTGTACTGAAAAATGAGGGGTTATTGTCTCCCGGTCTCTCTTCCTCTCCCGGTTGTTTGTCAGCTCTCCCTGCCAGATGTTATCACGCCCTCAGCTTGTTTGCAGAGATGCTCAGAAGAGGCTCCTTAGCTTGCTTCTGACAAAACCCTCTGGGTTAGCAAAGAGCTATTACTTAAGCCATTTTAAGGAAACCTGTCTTGCTTTGATTGATAGGGATTGGGAGGGCTTAGAAGATCAGCCCTTAGGAGGCTTTGTGTCCCCCCTGCTGCTCCGGTGGTGGCAGGTCTCTGGAGACAGGAACCACTCATGGACCTGCAGAGACACATCTGCCCAGCATCCAGAGCCGCTGACACCAGTGCTGGTGGGCTGGGACTCCTGCATCCTGCTCCTGAGGTAGCCACTGGCCCCACCATGTAGCCTCAGCCCCATCCACCACCCGTGCCTCAGGTTCTGCACCCAGGGGTGGCCATCCTCAAAGCAGGGGGACGGGGAGAGTTAATTGTAGAGTCATTCCATCCCCCTGGTGCAGAGCTACAGGCGGCTGCTGCTACTTCGGCACTTCATAAGAATTCACTTTTTTTTTTCTTTCTGATATCTTGAGTAAATGAAAAGCCAAATTTATGTTCTCAGTGGGAAACTATACTTCAGTTTGAAGAATGTTGTTTATTCTGATGACTCACTATTGGGATTATTGCTATGTTAAGTGGCCCAGCAAGGAATCCTCCTCTCAGCCTTCATCAGAGCAAGCACACAGTTCCCAGGAACATGTCAAACTATTCAGCTGTCCTAAAATCTGCTGTCGGGGTGCCCCTGAAATGCAGTTTGACTTTGCATTGCTGGGTGAGGTTAGCATGGGTGCACTCGTATGTGTATTCAGTTAAAATTCACATCAGCTTCTCAGAGACCAACGCAAGTAGCACTGGAGTAAGCAGTAGCAGCCCTGGCTCCCTATCTCTACCTTATCCTAACTTTATTTTTGGCCAAAGGGTGATGTTAGTTGTTATGGTGTGAGAAAAAATAGAAGTGGTTATTTCCTGCTAGGTGGGTTGGTAAGACAAACTGTTGGTGGAACACCCTACATGTCAGTGGGAACAACACAAGGCAAGAGTCCCCTTCCAGGGTTAACCCATCAGGAACACCCTTCCTGCTCCTGCAGACAGCACATAAAGCCACGCTGTGTGATGCCAGGTGAGTCCAAAGCCCGAGCTCTGCAGTGTGAAATAGGTGTCAGCGATGCCATCTCGAGGAGTTCCCATCCCTGGCTCCCTCCAGTGACAGAGCACGGTCCCTCCAGTGCTCCTCTCCATTGGCAGCAAACCAGAGGGAGTGATTAATACTCGGGGGTCGTTTCACTCTTGAGCAGAGCATGTAACTACGTCTGAAGTGTCTGCTGAGGGGGGACCTGGCCGGGCTGCTCCCCGGTGTGGCTGACAGACCTCCGTGGACCCTGGCTCTGCTTGTGTGGGACACGTATAATCTGTACAGGCCTGAGCCGCTCGGCCAGTGGAAGCGCTGGGGTAGGGGAGAGCTGCTGATGTGGTGGGAAGAATCGAAAATTGAGCCCTTAAAATGAAAATTAACAACTATTCCTCGGTGGTGGCAGAGGGTCAGCGTGCAGAGTGAGCGGTTCTGTGATATTGCTACAGCCCAGGAGTCAAAAACCCATTTTCAAGCAAGTATCCTTCCAGAAAATTCTCACCCTTCAAATTATTATAAGACGCTTTCAGCTCTCCCAGGATGGTGTGATGGATGGTGAGAAAAGCAAATTAAACATACTGAGTTTAAGCTGGTTTACTGCTTAACTGTATCCTCTACTGGGTTTACTGTTTTTTATTTTAAGCTGCAAAAAGGTTATTACCATCTTAAAGCTGGGAGCTCCAGTCTCCAAATCCCTCTAACATCACGCAGAAGCAAATGGGACAGTTAACTGACAGGCACCCTCACAACTTACCCGCTGGAAGCTCACACAAGCTTCTGACACTGAAATCCTGCCTGTGGAGGCACAGAACCAAATCCCATCGTCACCCAGGACAAACCCAGCGTGGCCCCAGCAGCTTGGGGGGAGCCCTGTCCACCCGGGCCAGCCCTCTCCTTCTCCCATCCAAAGGGCATCTCACCCTCCTGGTGTGAGGCGGAGCTGCCGTGGGGTGACAGCTCCTGTGATTGAAATCTTCAAGAGGAAATATGGAGATAGCAGTGGGGAGGGTGGGAGATGGGATTTCCCAGAGAAGTCCAACCCAATTCCTTCCTGCAGGGGTGGGTTGGGATTGCGGGAATGTCTCCTGGCAGCCTCCTGCAAGTAGGGACCATCCGTGCTGGTCCTCGGAGACTGTCCCTCCCCTGTATTGCAGACATCTGCTGGCTGCTGCTGCCTCCAATGGCTTCTCTGCTCACCACGCTGTCCCAAAGGCTGTTAGTCAACTGCTCTTCTTCCCTCTCTCCGTGGCCACTGTCACCTTTGGGTTCCTCCTTCCCAGCAGGATGGAGCCCGGGCAGGACCTGGGGCCAGGAGGACGTTGTGAGAGCCTGTCCCCCCTCCTCTCCTTCCACGGCGTGGTCCAGGCTGCTCCTCTCTTCCCCTGACACGGTTCTCCCCACTCCCTGCAAAGGCCCATTTTCCCAGGCTGATTCCCGAAGCAGTGGGAGATGTGGATGTGAAGCCAGGGCTGAAACAGCAGCCTGAGCCCTCGCGCAGACTTGGAGCCCGGCCTAGCCTGATCAGCAATAAAATGTTCAAAAGGAAAGAGGAAAAAAGCCATTTCCCATCACAGGAGCAGTGGGGTATTTTCCATAGGAACAATGATGTTCTGGTTAAGTTCTAAGAACTTTTCTAATTATTAGGCCAAACCACTGTGAAAGCTGATGTCAGCAGGAAGAGCTGATGGGAGGAATTATAATGTGTCTGGGGCCATATGAAAGCGTTAGACCCTGCCCTGCTCCAGATCCGCGTGAGTCATTTTCCTCCTGGTCAGGATTTTGTATTGAAGTGCAGACTGGCAGTTCTCTGGATCGTTCCTCGTGCCAAAACTCCTGTGAAGTCGGTTTTGTCTGTTTTTTTCCCAGTGCCACTGAGAGGAGGACCATCAATGGAGCTCCTTTGCTGAGGAGGGAGCGTCAGGCCCCGCGCCGCGTGGGGCAGCGACCGCAGCACCTGCTGCTCATTTATTGTCAGCCAGTGCTGCCTCGGTTCCAGCCGTAAAACTCCGCTGGATCCAGGGGGAATTATGGCTCTTTGCCACCTCTGAGTATCTGCTCTGAGCGCTTTGGTCTTTAATTGTGTGTAGATTTTCTGTAGGAGCCTGTTTGCTGCAGAGACCTGCCGTGAGACACCACCCTGCAGGACTCTTCCCAGATCACCCCGGCCTTTCCACCTGCGGAGCTGAGATGGCTCCTCCCTTGATTGAAAGGCATTTTCAAAAGGACCCACCAAGGGATCTGCCTCTTTCCTCCCCTTTCAGCTCATCCCAGCTCCTCGTGGCATCACTTTCCAGACAGAGCTGGGCTGGACTCCGGGGTACTCTGAAGAGGCAGAGTTACCAAGTTATTGATGCTGCCAACAGGTGAGATGGGTTACAAGACTGTGTAAATCTGAATTTTGTAGGAAGTGGCAAAGCAAGCAGTTATGTCATAGAGAATGGGCAAAGCCTGAAAATGATCCGACAGCTGTGTCAAGCTCTTCCTGCTACAGTCTTCAAATCGGAGAGAAAAGCCCATCAGCCGCCTCGTGATCCGTGTCATCGCGTCCGTGTGATGAGTTAAGCCACGGCAGGAGCATCAGCCGCCTTCATTCACAGCCACGTGGAACCTGCCGAGTCCTCCCGCAGCCTTCCCAGTGCATCATCTGGGAGGCTTTGGTGCACGTCAAGCCTGCTTAAACCTGCAGGCACTTGAGATATTCAAAGGCTTCTGTCTCACTCGGAGCGCTGGCAGAGCTGCTCTTCCTCACGCCTCCCCGGGCTGCTCCGGGGGCTTTCCAGGTGCCATGGGTGTCAGTGTGCTGGGGGGGCTCCGTGCTCAGCCCTGCTGTGAGCTCCCCTTTACACCTGGGTGCAGGTTTTCCCATGTGGGTGCTCAGAACGTCGCTGTTTATACATGCCAGGGTAGGTGCCAGCTTTGCGCAGGGTTTCAAAGCACAACTGCTTTTTACTTAGTAGTACAAAAGTACACAAATCTACAAAAAAGAAAGAAAAAAACCTCACCAACAAAGTATATTTCCTGCCACTGTTTCTTTCCCACCGTGGGTGTTAGAGTCCCGTGAGCTGATCAGTTTTTCTCTGCAGCTCAGGGCAGGACCCCGGCCCCGCAGGCTCTGCCCTCTGCCCGCTTCCTCGGTGGGACCAGACCAGGCATCACCTCCTCCTCTCTGCTCCAAACCCGGTGTGTTTCTGTGTCCCAGAGACTGATACATGGTGATCTCTGTATTTGTTTTTGACAATCTCCTCAGCTGCACACAGCAGTCCCCAGCACAGGCATGGGAAGGAGTGACTCTGCTCCCCCGTACCTGTGTCTGACAGCGACTCCCCCAAGAGATAAACCTCCTTCCACCAGCCCCGCACCCGTTTCCCATGCAAATTCATGAAACTGGAATTAAACTTCCCCCTGCTGCAGTCTGGGGGGGGTTTCCCTCTCGACAGCTCTGTGGGTGAGAGCCGGGGTGCTGACAGGCAGCCAGGGGTGCTCCGTGCCGGCCCCGGCTCCGGCGGGAAGCGCTGCCGTCGCCACATCAAACCCTGAGCCCAGCCCGTGTCTGGGGCAGCGCTGCCTCTTCTTTCCCTTCCGCTGGAGAACAGGCTCTTTTCTTGCTTCCCTGCTTCATCTCCAGCACGCCGGCGGTGGTGGCTGTCGTTATTATTATTAGGGGAGAGTCTATCATGCTTTTCCGTGGAAAATTGGATTCTTGACAGAATCGCTTAGCTTAAGGTTTTGTCTTTGGTAGGAAAAATTAACTTTTTTTATTATAAATCATTCTAAGAATATATATTTTTGCCTGAAACTTTAAGAAAGTGTTTATTCAGTGCAATGTTGTTAATTTTTATGGGACACGGGGACAGATGTGTTTACATTTTCTGTCTGTTTTCAGGGCTGGCTGTTACAGCACCGGCTCCTGTGGCTCCTCAGAATAGCGTCCCCGTGCCAGGGGCTGAGCAGAGGCCCAGCATCCATTTCACAGTTGTGCCAGGGTAAATCCACCGCGAGCAAGGCAGCTCCTTTGTGCCCATGTCACTCTGTCCACGGGGCTCCTGGACCAGCTGAGTGCTGGGGGCAGATCTCCCTCGCAGGGACAGGGCTTATGTTGGCAGAAGAATGGTCACCTGTTGCCAGTATTCCTCAGACCAGTTTCCCACGCTGTGCAAACTGTGTCTGGGATAAAACTAGTTTCTGCTGATGCTGCTTTTGTCAGAAGAGGAAAAATATCCCACCTATATCAGGTCCCGTCCGACTCTAATCGTTCTGATTCTCTGAGCAGGCAGGGTGTGGGCAGGTGGGGCTGGGAGGCTCAGGCTGGAAATTAGGAAAGATTTTACACTGCAAGGGTTGTGAAGCCTTGGAAGGGGCTGCCCAGGGCAGGGGTGGAGTCACCATCCCTGGAGGGATTGAAAAGCCGGGCAGATGTGGCGCTGAGGGACATGGGTCAGTGGTGGGTTGATGGTTGGACTCGATGATCTGAAAGGTCCCCTTCATCCTGGGCCATTCTGTGATCCTCTGATTCTATCTGGTCCTGACGGCCACCATATATCACCCCTTCCCACCCCCTGGATGCCTGAGTCAGAATTCCAGAGGAGCAGGCAGATTTGGTGGGTAAACGGGTGATTTTGGTGTGACCGGCCGGGCTCACCACTGTCACTGCCAGAAAAGCACCATCTGCCTTCTGGGGGGCAAGGGACAAACCCCCGGGGGCTGCTGGCACCTCCTGAGGTGTGTGTCAGCACTGATTAAACAGAAGCTCTGGTGAAGGTATTTTGGGCCTTGATTACTCCAGAAGCCCCAGGGAACTGGGTGGTTTGGGCCGTCAGCCGGGGATTCACTGCAGCTGCGGTGGGGAGTGGGAAGGTTGTGATGAGCTGCAGCATCAGGAGCTGATAAATAACCCGTGTGGTGGGGCTGTGCTGGGAAACACTGAATAATAACTTGGGTCTCATGGAAGGGCGCTTCCTGGCGTGATTTAAATGGATACAGAGGGACTGAGCTGCTCCCCATGGTTCGGCTGGGATGGAGGGAATAACGACAGAACAAGAGGGAACGGCTTCAAGCTCCAACAGGGTAGGTTTAGACTGAACATTAGGAAGGAATTCTTCACAGAGAGAGTGGTCGGGCATTGGAACAGGCTGCCCAGGGAGGGGGTGGAGTCCCCATCCCTGGATGTGTTTAAGGGCCGTTTAGATGTGGTACTGAGGGATATGGTGTAGGGGAGGACTATGTAGAGTAGGGGAGATGGTTGGACTCGATGATCCCAAGGGTCTCTTCCAACCTCAATGATTCTATGATTCTATGACTTCAGGGCTGGTTTAAGGAGAGCAAATGCCATCAGTAATGTTACGTTTTTATTGATAACGCGAAACAATTAACGGCTTTGGAGAGGAGGAGTAAATGTGTTTATGTTAATGCTGATTTATTACATTATTGCTTCTATAACACAAAACAAGGCTTCCTAACCTGCATCCAAGCATCCGCTTGGTTTTTTATCTTGGCCTATTTATCGGTTCTTTTTATCACGAAGCCCACACAAATGAGGAGAGACATTTATTGTGTTCTTTTTATTTCACAATGCATAATTCAAATCTGGAAATACTGTTTTCCGGAAGAAATACACATTTATTTTTAAAGCTTTTCTCTAATTTTATTTTCTATAGGTTCTTTTAAGAACTGGTCACATTTGGGTCTTTATTTTTATTGCTTTAAAATTCAGAAAACTTTCTAAAGCAATGTCCAGTGGAAAATTAAATCTCGTGTTTGAGTTGTAGATAGAAAAAGATGGATTTACTAAAAATTATGCCTGAGATTCCTTTTATGCTTTCATGAGCATAAGCTAGAGTAGCTTCTTTGCTGCTCTAGCAGAATTTTCAGAGTAAATACCCGAAGTCACCCTTAATTACCCTTTTCTTTGGGAATGCCACGCTGAGGGTGCCGAGCATGGGACATACTGTGGGACTTGTGCTGGCTGTAATTAGAGCTTGATGACACTGGAAGTGCCCATACCCGTGGAGATAACGTCTCAAAAGTCTCCCCACAGAAGGTGCAGGCTCTGCTCTCTGCTTCCCTGGGCACTGGGGAGCTGAGATTTCCCCCTGCTGGGACCTGCACTGACTGGGGTGCGTGGCTGTCACCCCCTGATGGGTGATGGAGCAAAGGAAAGTACAACCAAGGACAGGTCAGACAGAAGGTTTGTTAACTCTGGTCACGGTGAGAGAACATTGGGTCAGCATCCCCCCCTCTGCTCCCCCATTCCCTGCCAAGAGACCCAGCCCATACACTGTGGAGGATTCTGACATTTCCAACAATTTTGTGAATTAGCAAGTTTTTCCTCCCTCCCCATTCCTGCCTCCCCAGAGCTACTGGGGAAAGATTCTTTGTATGAAATCAGCAATAGGCTCTTCACAGGTGCAGGAGTGGGTTCAGGTAGTGCATATAGGACGTATATAAGAATGTGAGAGAGCAAGGGTAGAAAATTGGCAATTCCAGTCCTGTCATTCTTCATTCATTCCTTCGGTTTCGTTGTTCCTTTCCAGAAACTGGCTGTTTCTAGTCTCCATGGCCTTGTCTTCCAGCAATGCTGCTGCCTGAGGAGCCAGCCCCATCCTGACCCACCTGGTCCTGGACCCTTCCCAGCCTGGGCACAGTGCAGAGCTGCAAGGTGGGTGTGTGAAAAGAACCTGGCAGAATGAAATACTGCTCACACCAGCGTGGGTACAACCACAAAACCTGTCCCGGGTGAAGCCAGGCAGTTATCCACAGCTCTGGGTTATGCTGTCATCCCGGATCAAGACAAATTAGTGTGCACGGAGGCAATCAGAAGTAATTACTCTTTAAGAAACAATAGGCGTCACTCTGTGGCTTCTGTCTGACAGCTGAAGAACCTGGCTCCCTGTGAAAAACCCACACAGCTTAATCTCCTCCTGTCACATCCTCTTTCCCTGTCCTCCCTGGGTAAATGTTTGTGCTGCCGCGGCGAGAGGCACCGGGGCAGCGGGACAACGGGGCCCTGGGTCCAGGGACAGCAGCGGCACCCGGTGCCCTCAGCCGTCCCTCAAGGGGAGCAAAGGGGGTCTGCAGGTACAGAACAGCACCTCCGCCGGGGCTCGGGTGGTCCCTTCCTGGAGTAAATCCTGCTTCCATGAAGTCAGCTCCTGAGGCTGCAGCACAACAGCTATAGATAGGAAATGAAATGATGGGAAGCGAGCACAGGGACCTGGCTGTTCTTCTGCTCCTCAGGGGAGACACTCAATGGCATTCCAACTGATTCATCTTAGGAGTGTAAATATACCTGCTGGAGCCTGCTTTTGCCACCCCTGTTGTCATTTTTAGGTGTTGTCTTAAAGACTAAACCCTTCCTAAAGGCTCCAGTGGCACCTTTGAAATCTTATAGAATCTGAAGTCAGCGTGTGTCAGTCGTTGGCTGTTTTACCTTCTCCAGGAGGAGCTGCAGGATGTGTCTGAGTGAAGATGAAGCCACAGAGTGGCAGACTGAGTCATCCTAGGAAATACCTGTATCTTTGTGCAGTGGAAGCAAACAGGGTGTTTATTAGCCTTTATTACTAGTATTAATTAAGCATTCTACCAAGGGTGAACCCTGAGCAGCCTTGCTGGCTGGCTCCCTCACAGCAAGATTGAGGGTCATTACTAGACTAGAGTAGATTGATGGTCCATTTTCAAATGAATTCCTATATTCATTGGGTTTGTGCAGCACATAATATACGTGATAACACCATACTTCTATCACTTCTGTACAATAATACCAAGACACAACATTGCCAAGCATTAACTTTACAAACATGCTATGAAATACAGCTCGTGCGTCCCTGTCTTATGAGGACACTTGAGGCTGAAATATCCTCCTCACCTACAGACTTTTCAAACGAATACAAATATCTCTCCAGAGCTAACAGCTGGTACTGCTCCACTAATGGCAAGTATTTTCTTGTTCTTATGCTAAAGGTAAATCATTATTCACTTCTTTCTGTCTTATCTTCGTGGTCCAAATAGCCCTATCTCTGTAATAGAAACCAGCAGAACTTAATTAGTCCTCTCCAAACGCCTCATGACGTGTGTGTACACTCTTCGAGCTATTAATGCTAAAAGCTTTCCCATAAAGAACAAGAACTGTAGTGTAGTAATAACACGAGGATCTCATTTCCTGTTTTTATGTTTACTACTTGTTACTATTTCATGTCTATGGACTGATATCCAGCGTGCAGATGCATATTTACAAGGGAGCACAGTGTAATGAATTCAGCTTGGTTCCGTTAATGGGCTTCTAAAGCCCGGGTTTGTCTGGGGGAGAGATTGTTGCATTTACATCTGTCGTTTTGTCCTGATGCTGGTATGAAAAAGGTATGAACAACACCTGTGAGGAATCAGGGAAATGAAAGGTAGAGAAATTCAAGGCCCTCAAGGGGTGTTTGTTGGTCTTGGCTTGTTCCTCCTGTCACCCCCCAGCTGCTGCCTTACCTCCACATTCAATACCCAAATTGATGCGCACTTCAGGGCGTGCTCTGGTGGCCAAGATTTAGGGGTTTTGTGTGTGTATGGTTGGACTCGGTGATCTCAGATGTCCTCTCCAACCAGGACTATGGTTGGACTCGGTGATCTCAGACGTCCTCTCCAACCAGGACGATTCTATGATTCTGTGAATTCTCCATTCCTGCAGTTCTAGTCCTGGAAAAATATAAATATTAAGTGTAGTTAACAGTAATTCTTTCCCTTTGTTGTCCATCTGATAATTTAAATGTTCATTTTAAGCACAGAAGTCTGGTTTGTGACTCTGCACCTGCATGAAGGTAGAAGGTCCCCCCAGGCTGTCCCCACTGGGTGCTGGCTGGGGACCATCCCCCCTCCCTGGGAGCTGTGGTCTCTGGAGGGTGGGAGAGGAGAGGGGCACTGACAGCTCCGTTCTGCCCGATGCCTGGGACCCCCCCAGCTCCAGCACACGGCTCCCAGCTGGAACTGGGGCTGGGCTGTTTCATCTGGTGGTGCACAGCCCGAGGGACCCCCCCACCTCCTTTCTCCAGCTGCTGGGAAGTGTCACCGTGCTGGGACACACTGTCCCCATCCCGTGCTGTGGCTGTGGGACTGAGGAGGGCAGTATGTGCCCAACAGACAGAAGACCAAGCAGATGGTACCAAATCACAGCACGTTCTTCTACCATGGATTTCTTTTCTCTTTTTTTAAAAGGTGAACATATTTGGGTGATCCCAGTTCCCAGAGGTGAATGAACAGCAGCGGAGGGTGTGGAACCTGCTGGAGCTGGCTCTGGAGTGGTGTGTGAGCAGAGGGCACCTTACTCTCTCTGTTCTAGGGGTCTCTCTATGGTGCTTTTTGCCGTTCTAGCCATTTTTGCGTGGGTTCAGCGCCGGAGCCAACAGCTGTCTGGTGTCATTGGCTGCCTGGTTCTCTGCCTGGGCAGGGAGCGGCGCGGCTCGTTTCAGCCAGGAATGTCTGTAAATGTGTGCTCTGCTCTGTTTATGTTGGGAAAGCAAAGATCAAAGCCTGTACTTGGAGCAGCAGTGGGGGCTGTGAGTGGGGACCTGGCCACACTCCCGTCCCATGTGTACGTACATGTCCTCACGTACCCACCCCTGCCCTTCACCCCTGGGACCCGGGGCAGGAGCTCTCAGAAAACCCAGCTGGTCCTTCAGAGGCCATCAGAGGTCAGGGCTGCCCTTGAAGGGGAGCAGAATTAACCTTAGGTGGGACTAATTAGTTGCCTGCAATGAGGGGAGACCCAAGGTCAGGTGCTGGCAGTGGCTCTGTGGGGTCAGACCAAAGCCCCGTCCAGTCCCGTGTCCTGTCCCAGCGAGCACGGTGCTGGAACCACAAGAAAGAGCATAAAAGGGGGCACTGAGACAAGAGTCCTTTTTGTGATGTGTCTTTCCAGCTTCTGGAGGCACTTGCTGAGCTCCAGGCTGTATCTGCACTGCTCTATGTAATGGCTGCTGGTGGAGTCCCATCAATTTATCTAATCCACTTACTCCTTTGGGTTCTCCATCTGTGACTTCTGCATTCATCTACCATTGTGTGAAAAGTGTTTCCTTTTCATTAAAAGGAGCAAGGAGTAATTATTCCCTGTTTGCTTTCTCCACCCCACTCCAGGCTGGATCCCTCAGCCCTGTCCAAGCCCAGCTGCCGGTCTGATGAGCGGGTGGGTCTTCCTTGATGAGGTCTCCTCAGATGCTGGGCCATTTGGTACCTCTGATGTTCTTGCTGCTCCTCTTCACTCTGTGACCCCTTCCTGAGGTGGGGTGACCAGAACTGCACGCAGCGCTGGAGACACGGGACCGCCAGGGGCTGACAGACCTGCAGAGTGATGTTTTCCGTGTTGCTGTCGCTGCCTTGGCCATGTGTCCTGCCGGCGGGTGAGAGGTAAGAGCAGCTCCGTCGCTGGAGGAGCCCGCGGGGAGAGCCTCGCCGCTCCTCCTGGGGAAGGACGCGGGCAACGGGACGTGATTTATTTGTTTAATTTATGTTGGACTGTTTGATTTTGCACAATTAACTTCCTCCCCTAAGAAAGATGTCAGATGAAATTTTCGGCTGGAAGGTGGAAGGGGAGGACGAGCAATCAGTGCTCGCGGCAGCGCGGGGCTGTGGGCTTTGATCCCTCCCAGGCTCCGCTCCGGGGGTGTCCCCCCGACGGGAGGAGGTTTGGGGGCAGGACTGGGGAGAGTTTCTGCCTTATCCAGAAACTGCCAGCCAGATTGTTTCCCTTGGATCCGGCCCTATCTCGGTGGTTATGTCCTTGGCTTTTCACATGCAAAAGAAGCACTTTATTAAAAGAAACAAGATACTTCCCCGAGCCTGACAGCTTGCATTCTGAACTATCACCCCCAACAAGGGACCTTAGAACTGACCCCCAGACGTTAATTTAACCATTACAATTCCATTAGGATAATTTGTCATGAAACATCTTTTACTAATTACCTGCATTTGTAAGTTAGTCCACATGTCAGGAGATAAGGCGTGGAGCAGAGCCCCAGGTCACCGCTCTGGGCTGCCATCACACAAGACAGGCCCCAGATGAAAGGGAACTGGGAGTCGATGGGAGGAATCTCCGTGACAGCTCCTCCGGCAGCGCCAGGCGGCCGCGGCTGCAATGTCAAAACTGGACCATTGTTTTCCAAGTGGTGTTTTGGAAAAGATGGGGCATGCCCTCATTAGCAGAACAAGCTCTCGGCAGATTGAGCATAATGCATTCCCCGTGAGCTTTTGTCTTGAAGGTGGTGATTTAATAAATACAGGTCCCCACTAAAACCGTTTGCTCAGTGTGGCAGGCAATGGTACCAAACATTTATGACTGAATTTAGAACTGTCCCTTTTCAAAGAGACCTGATTATGTCCTGAATGTTACTTAAAAAAGCTCATTTGGGAACGGCTGTTGCTTTCTTCAAATGACAAATGTTGAAGCGGAGGGAAAGACCAATTAGGAGCCTGATTAAAGGCTGCTTAAGCCTTTCACCGAGTCGTATGTGTGGATTCAACTCCCTGTTACTTGCTGGAAATGTGCCCGTGAGTTTACGGTGGGAGCTGCGACACGCTGTGTGCCACAGACACCTCTCTCTCGCAGATTTAGGCAACTGTAAACTTCCCCTTGTTCCCATGCCTGTGACATTCCCCTGGGGGCTC